CACCCGGCGCACGCCGCACACCTGCTCGAACGGCCAGGAGCGTGTGCACGCCGATGTCGACGATGTTGGTGGTAGTGCCGCCGTCGGTGTCGCCGTTGGTGTTGTTGTTGCCGTTGGTGGTGTTGGTGTTGGCGTTGGGCGTGCGCGCCGCTGGCAGCCCGCGCCAGAGGTCGAGAGTGAGGACGTCGGCGTGGCTGAAGGATGCGCCTAGGCCCGCGGGTACGGTGCGGGTTGCGTCGTTCTCGTTGTTGTTGTTGTTGGTGGTGGTGTTATGGCTTTGGGATGGTTGGTTGGTCGCGGGCGGGGGGTCGAGGCGCAGGCGGAGATGCCATTTTTTGATCAGGTGGGTGTTGGGGTTGGTGGTGGAAAGGGCGGGTTTCCTCTCCCCGGAGATGGCGGTTGGGGCGAAATTTGTCCCGAGGATGGTCGCGACTGGCCGGCAAGGGGTGCAGTACGGGTGGTAGAGCGTTGGCTGCGCGGTGAGGCGGACGGGGTGGGCGGAAAAGGTGTTTTGGCCGTACAGGACGGGGAGGGCTTCGTAGTAGGTTTGGGTGTTGACTCGTAGGATTTGAGGATATAGGGTCGGTTTGGAGTTTGTTGTTGTGAGAGAGGAGCCTGAGGGTGAGGCGGCGTAGGAGCAGCGGTAAGTAGCTTGGAGGGTTTCGCGGGGCGGTGGTGGCGGGAGGACGAGGAGGTACGTGTATATCTCGAGTCGGAGCTCGACGGGGAGTGTCAGGAAGGTTGGGCGGTCTCGGGGCATTTTGGATTGTTGAACGGGTGGTATTGACAATGGAATAAGGGTTACCTTTGGGACGGGTGAAAGGGCAGTCGACTCAAATCTCCTGTTCTACTCTGTTGGATAGTCTACTATTTATTCAAGAGGCCGTGGGTGTTCCATCTCTCAGCCACCGTCCAGAGCGCTTGAAGCGGTGAAGGGTGAATTCAGCTTGTCCCAACCGAATCTTTTCGACATTGACGTAGCTCGAATCAGGAAGTGCATCGGCCCAGCCACGGCGCTCTTATCGCCTTCTGGAATCGGGATGGATCGAGACAAGAACCAGGCGAGACATACATGTTTGCCATGTACCGGCATTGACAGGGCGTGTGATTCGTCTCCCTGGCGAGCCCAGAACGGTGACCTGTCAAGAATCGGACCGGTCAGACTCGGGACCAGGATTGCGCATGACCGGATGCAATGGGCTCAGCATCTGCAGTAAGCCTCGACCAGGATTGGGATGCTGTTGTTAGGTCGAAGGCAAGCCCGCCGTTGCTTTCTGATTTCAACAGACAATGATAAGAACGGAGAATGAAGATGAATTGCGTCATTGTCTTCTCCAATCTCGGGTAACTGTCATAAAAAAAATAGGTAGTTCGTAACCATGATATTCATGACTTTATTCGTATGCAAAATCCGTGCGACGGCAGAAAGAGCGTGGGACAAGATTGGCCATTGCGTCTTGGGCACTTCTGAGACTTTCGTTTGGTGAGTCGTGTTGGCGTTACGAGTCGGCACTCGGTGATTGCGGGTCCCATTTCATTCCATCCCATCACCTATAACCCATGCCCGCATCTTCCAGCATGCTCACCTGGTGAAGTCCCTGACGCTAGCCAGATGCAGGTTAGCCCATACCCCATGTCCTAACCCCAGTCCCACCCAAGCACGCAAGATCAACGACGACGTCCCTGTGCAGATTATATTACTGCCGCAACCGCATCGCGAACATCGGCGCCGTCGCACCAGCGCCTTGCCATTCATTCAGCGTAGTCTTTTTCCTAGTCGCTCACTGCGTTTCTCAGCCACCATGGGATTTCTCGAGTTTCTGTCCGCCCTTTTCGGCGTGATATACTTCGTGGCGTGGTCGGTGAGCTTCTATCCACAATCAATCCTCAACTTCAGACGCAAGTCCACATCCGGGACCACGGTTGACTTCCCCTTGATCAACTGCCTAGGTATGCCACCAGTCCATATTTTTGAGTGACTTTACAGTCAGTTGTTAACTAATGCAACAGGTTTCGCTGCCTACATGGTCTCCAACATGGCCTTCTATTATTCGCCCTTAATCCGTGCCCAATATGCCGCCCGCTACAAGGGGCTGACCCCCACCGTGCATTTCAACGACATCACTTTTGCTGCGCACGGCCTCTTCATGTCGCTCATAACCACCAGCCAGTACTTATGCCCCGGCGCATGGGGGTTCACTCCCAGTATGGGCAACAGACCCAGCCGGCTCATCCTTGGTATCTTTTTTGGCTGTGTAGTCGGCACTACAGCCGCCATCTTCATCGTGCTCGGGTCTCCCGAGCGGGATAGTACTCACGAAGCCGTGTCGTCGTGGGTCTGGCTTGATGCCATCTACGCCATCTCGTACGTCAAGCTGATCGTGACGCTCATCAAATACACACCCCAAGTCATTGTCAACTACCGCAACAAGTCGACCAAGGGCTGGAGTATTCTGCAGATCCTTCTTGATTTCTCCGGCGGCATCTTGAGCATATCCCAGCAGTCCATAGACAGCTATATCCAGCGTGACTGGTCCGGAATTACAGGCAACCCAGTCAAGTTCGCCTTGGGAAACGTCTCCATGATTTACGATCTCGTATTTATGACCCAGCATTATGTGCTCTACCGCGGCGCAGACGGGAAGCAGACGGAGGGCGACTCGCTGCTTGGGTCTGACGAGGAGCGCCGGATTGATTGATCTCTCAGTCATACGTCAATTGTCTATACCTTCGTTTGGGGGAATCGATGCTGCACATCAGGGTACGGTCGGGTTCTTGGGTAGTTACAATTGCGCGACGAAAGTTGTTTCTTCTCCCAAACCAAGTCCACGCCTATCTATCTTCCGACATGCCGATCCAATGCCTCCATCCCCGGTTCCCAAAGTCCGAAATATCCCCCACCCGCCGACCATTTTTGCATCGGCTTTTACATTCATCATGTTTGGGTGTTTACGGGCTTTACCGCTTATCGTCGGAATATATCACCACCACTGACCCTTCCGCATCGAACGCCCCTGACTCAAAGCGTTGCGGCACTTTATCAAACCCCAGAACCAGCATGAATGGTTTATTGAAGTCGTCAGGCGGCCCGATGTTTTTTGGACCCCGGCCCTCCTTGCTCCTCTTGGCCGTCAAAAGGTGCGCCGTGGCAATCCACTGTGAGGAGCTTGCGTTGAATGAAGAAGACAAAGCCAATCCAGGCTTTACACTCGCAACGCCCGCCCATACCTGGTTGCAAAATTCCCCGACTTGGCTCCCATGCTAGAAACCATGAGTTGAGGAGATGCCGCGACGGCACCGATCGGTGGTACGGTTGCCTCCCACGCACTCTGCTCGGCTAACCGCTGTCGTGGACCCGGCCCGGACAACTGAGGGCGGGAAGAGTGGCCGCTCTTGCTCAGTTAGTGCGCCGGCATACTGATCACTGGAACGGCCACGCCGGCCGTTACCTAGGCCGTCCAACTTCCCGGTCTTGCAAGCCTTTGCAGGGTTGTAGGGCCCTATTAGGCCGATCACATGAACCTCGCCGGGGAGCTTGGTGCCGACAAGGATTACGACTAGGCCGAGGCGGGTGATTCGAGGCAATGGGAAGAACGTCGTTTCCCCATGACACGAGTCTAGAGACTTGCCAAACCTGGAGGAAATATTCTTATATTGCTGGCGACCTGCTTGCGGCAAAGCTAGCGGAGTGTGCCCGAATATCAAACTAGTGAGCCACTGCTCTCATCAACATCAAGACGATTGCGGCGCATGGTCTGGTGGTGCCACTGTATGATCTGGGCGAGGTGTTTGTAATAGAGAACGCTAAAGACTTTCCAGATAATTTAGCTAACCATCTACGGGGCCAAGTGATTCTCAAGCTCGACTCGTGATTTCCTCGAATACTATGGCTGGTCGACGATCAGCTGGGCTAATACATTGGGACTTCCAGGAGGATGCCGAGGATCTCAAGTATGCCAAATGACTCAAGGCTGATAGTTCGAACCACCATGACCTGGCCGACCCTGCCTGCAGCAGCTGAGCTCGCGCCTCCGCCCACGCCAACATAAATCCCAGCGGTAACTCGGTCTCCGGGGAAGCTCGAGAAAGTCGTGGAATGGGTGCCAGTATCGTGGTATTTGCATTAGGGTCAGTGGTTTATTCCATCATGTAATTCAACGAGCACGTGCCTTCAGAGGTCCCGATCCTTCCCCTTTTGTCATGGTTTTGACCTGCGACGGCTACAAGCATTTGTGCTAGTCATGTTCGGGCAGCTGCAAAACCTATAGATAAGGTGCATTCAACCATGAACTTGGATGCCAGACGTCATGATATGGCTGGCCACGAGCCTTTTGTTCAATAGTATGCTTGCTAATGCTCCCATCTTGGCCACGAGCTCAAGACCGCTATGTAGAAAAGATTGTGCTACCTATTTGTCTACCATCCACCCGCTGCCGTCCTGGTCCTCGGCATATCCGGCAGGCTCTCTAAAGTTTAAAGCCGTCCGTAGAGCCTCTCTCTGGCAACCCAATTGAAGAGGCGCGCGCGGAAAACCTCTTCGAGGCAGTCCTCGAAGTGGCTTTGGTTTTCCAACGGGCCATCTCCAACGCCCTCCCCGAGGCGCTCCTCCTCCGGGTTTTGCCCCGGGACTTCTTCCACGACTTCCCCCGGGGCACCATGGACGATTTCGTCCATCATCTCTTCGAAGGGTACCCCGAGCGGTTCGTCCAAATCCGCCTCCTCCACGCCCGGCACCGGATACTCCTCAAAGCCCGGCCGCTCTTCGTCCCCACACACCGTCGTGTCCGAATCCCAGCCCCCGTCCTCCGAGCTACCTGCCTCAGGGGAGTTGATGATGGGGGACATGCCCTCCCCCGACCCGACCACCGTCATCTCCTCCTCCTCATCCTCCCTCTCCTCCTTCTCCTCGTCCACCTTGGCGCAGCCGGCAAAGACGCGACCCCCGCTGGCCCGCCAGCAGACCCACGGCCCGATACCACCACCACCACCACCACCACCCTCCGCGATCATCATCATCATCCCCGCACGCTCCTTCTGAGCCTCCTTCTGAGCCTCCTTGCCCCGGCCTGGCCGCCACACCTGCTTCTGCTTCTGCTCCTGCTCTGCAGGGGGCGGCCGCCCGAGCCGCCGAGCACACTCCGCCCGCGCGTGTGCCGCCGCCGTCTTGATCACCCACTTGGCGCCGGTGCGTTCCGTGAGGGCAGCCTCGGAGACGGTCTGCGTGGTGGAGAGCGCGGCGCTGTGGGCCGTCCTGCGGGTGAGGGTGTTAGTGAGTTGGGGTTTTTTTTGGCGGGTTTTTTTTTGTTTGTTTGTTTTTGGCGCCGGGGGGGCGGGGGGGGATACGGGGGGATGAGGGTGCACGGCCGACGGGGTAGTAGTGATAGTAGTGCGGTGGTAGAGGCGTCGAGGAGGGGAGTGTAAGAAGTTAAAACTGTAAACGTACCACTGTCCCTCCCAGCACTCGAGGCAACGGGACTCGGTGGAGTAACGGGCCTCCTCTCCACGTGTGCAGACTCGAGGAGTCGTGCACCGAACGAAATTGAGGGTGGTGTGACCGCAGGAGAAACGCAGGACGGCGAATAGACACATGGCTGCTGTTGTCGTTGGGGGTTGGATGTTCGACAGGGCGATGTGTGGCTCGGGAGTGGCGATCAGGGTGATGCGCGTAAAGAGAGGGGCAGTGACTGGAGAGATCCTCGAGAATTGATGATTGGTATATAGAGGATCAAACAAATTGTGATATATTTCCAGATACAGTGATTTGTATATAGACGACCAAACAAGCTGTGTTGTTCTCGAGCGACTGGTTGGTGTGGTTGCGTGTTGTGGTTGATTTGTTGTCAACCCGTTGTTGACCCGTCGCTGCCCCGTTTGTTGATTTGTCGTTACGGGGCACCGAAGTGGCCATAAGCATCCCTGCGCCCGCATCGACCATGGTCATAGGGGGTGACCGGCGTGGCCTTGTGACTTTTAGTAAGGGGGAGATAGTCGGAGGCTAGCCTGGATACTGTATGTCACACGGTTGTTTCTCAAGGATCAGCCATGGGTGGTTATCTTGGAGGAGGAGGTAGGTAAGCCGCAACCCCCGGTGGACAAACAACACCATACATGTTAGCCAGCAACAAAATTGGGTTCATTTCCCTCCCAGCCGTCCACACTCCCAACTACCCTCCACTCCAATGCACAATGGCCCCTGTTACTGGTGGCAAGTGACCCGTGGTACATGAAGCTAGCCGTTCACGCACCCAAACACACTTTCACTTTGATTCACAATGCCTCTCGTTGTTGGTGGTAGATAGAAAGGCCCGAGAACTCCCAACATGACATGCCTGGTTCAACCCACAGCTATACCGACCTCCAAAGTTGGAGAAACCTGGCGACGCTGAATATCTGGTTCTCACGCAAACTGCATCACTGCACACTGCTCCGAGGAACACAAGCAAATTGACAAGTTGTCAACAATCCACCCAGGACACAAAAACAAAACAGAAGCTCTCAAAATGATGAATATATCTAACAGTGGATACACCTCGACAACTTACAATAAGAAGCCATTTGGACAAAGAACACCGAACGAATAGCTAGACAATCATTGCAGTACAATGGTAGAAGTACAGAGTAAGACGAGACGGAAACCCTAAAAAGGAGGCTTTTCTTTTCTTCTTTTGTCCTTTCAGCATTCCATCTCAATTTCGAAGCAGCAGATCAGGAATAAAATTCCGAGATTTAGATACAAAATAGGTACCTGGGTACCTAATATCGACTATTATACCGTCTCATAATAAGATTCGACAATCACCAGTAACTGACACCAGCTCCCAAAGCTAGAACAGTTTGAATAAAGATAGGCATTTATCATCTTTCCAAGTTGGAAGAGCTCAAGGATGCTGTCAGGCGGCCAGCATGTACCAGTCATCAATGGGATTCGCGGTTGAGGAGCGCACATCCGTTAATGGACCACGCTCAACGCTCGGCAATGCGCTGCGTTAGTTTCTGGGTATCTCTACTAATAGGATTTTTAAAGCGTGGGGGTTTAAGCGGCTAGGCCCGAGCCAGTTAAGAAAAGAATTGTCAATGTCCATAACTAAGGTAGGTAGTAGCGTAGTAATCAAGCATTACCTAGGTATTTGTTGAGGGGAATATGGGTTGATGACCCCCGCAATTGTTGTGTCACCAACCCTTCAATTTTAATCTTATGGTTACTCGGCTTGTAGCCTCATATTCTTTTGAGGTTGGCTTGACATTTATTTGGTTAGCCTCGTTTTCTCAACCGCTCAACGACGGCTCAACAACACCGGGGTCCGCGGCGCCAGCGCCGTCCCCACGCGACTCCGACGTCGGCCCACAATTCTTCCTGGAGCTTATAAACTTTGCAATCGCGAGCTGAAAAATAAGCTTGTCAGGGAGTCACCTTCCATCTTGACTTTACTTATTACATCTCCGCCATTGCAATCCGCGCCAATACACGACCCCGCAGCTTCGAGACAAGATCGTAGCCAGAACAGACTATCAGCACGCACCTCCATTGCTTTTCAGTCAAAGTATGGCTCACGACCCGGGGCAGGCCCAGGCCCTGGCCGGGGACAAGGTCGCCCGGGTTCTCACCTCGGACAGCACTCCCCCACAGAATGGTAACCAAGTCGGGAACCAGGGCGGCGGTAGCAGCAGTCGGGCGCCCATACAGGAGTACAGCATCGAGCGGGTCGAGAAAGTCTACCGGTCTGTCCCTCCCATCCATGAGTAGGCAAAGGTGGTTGGTTGCCAATGTTGCTGACCTCCGACCAGGAAACTCGACCTCCGCATCATCCCCGCCTTCTGGGTCCTCTACTTCCTCAGCTCTGCCATCCGCTCTAATATCGGCATCGCCCAGACCATGAACACGACCGCCGGCCACGACCTGGCCTCGGTCCTCTCGCTCTCGCCGCGCGACACCTCCACTGCCCTGGCGCTGTTCTATGTGTCGTACGTCCTGTTCGACCTGCCCTCCAACCTCATCATGAGCAGGCTCTCCCCGCGCGTCTGGATGGCCCGCATCGTGTTCGCCGTCGGCGTCACGGGCACGTGCTTCACAGCTGTGAACGACGCCTGGAGCTTGAAGCTGTTGCGCTTCTTGCTGGGTGTGGTTACCGCGGGCATGTGGCCTGGCATGGCATACTATCTGACGCTATTCTACCCGCCGTCGCGGACTGGGAAGCGCATTGGCATGTATTTCACCGCATCGCAGGTTTCGGCCGCCGTCGTCGGCTTGGTGTCGGCGGGGTTCCAGCAGATGGACGGTCTGGGTGGCCTGGTGGGGTTCAGGTGGATGTTCCTGGTTTACGGCTTGTGCGGTGTGGTACTGGGCATTTCGCTGCTCTGGTGGCTGCCTGACCGGCCGCTGGCGCCGGGCGAGCAGAGGGCGAGGAGTTGGTACTCAAAATTTCTCCCGCAGAGCCCCGAGGCGCTGAAGGGCGAAGATGCCGTCGTGCATTATCACGATTTGAGGAGGGTTTATCATGCTAGGGCGTGGAACATGAAGGACCTGTGGCATGTGCTCATCGACTGGCGACTATGGCCCCTTGTGCTGATGTACTTTGGGGTCGTCGGCGTGGGGATTGGTACACAACTGTACGGGAGCGTCATCATCGCGGCCATTAATCCGGCCTTTACCGGTGTTCAGGTCAGCCTGCTGTTTGCCCCTATTTGGATGGTAAGTTCTCCGCATATCAAAATTGCAAAGTTGAATACTGACTATGATAGATGGATTTTTGCGCGATCCTTCTGGTCACCCCCATTTCCGACAGGTTTCATCGGCATCGCGCCATCTTCTTCTCTGCTGCCGTGTGCATTCAAATCGCCGGCCTCCTGACCGTCACGTTTGCTCTCGAAAATCCTTGGGCCAGATACGGCGGCCTTCTGATGGTTGGTTTCGGGCTCGGGCCGACCGTCCCTATCTGCATGACTTGGACCAACGAGATCTTCCAGCGCCGTCATCGCGAGGTCGGCGTCGCAGCCGCGTCAGCCCTCGTCTCGGGCTTGGGAAACCTCGGCAGCATCACCACAACGTACGCCCTGTATACTGGCTGGCCCGAGGACGCCGCCAAGGGCCCGCACCAGTACCGCAAGAGCAACTTCACCATGATTGGAATCCTGTGCATGAGCATTGCTAGCAGCTTCGTCATGACGGCTTTGCTGCAGATCTTTGGGAACGAGCCCAGCAAGAAGATTACCAGCAGCACCAGCTCGGCCGTCGATTCGGACGAGTATCTCGATGGCGCAGCTCGGAGAGAAACCCAGCAGCGTGGGTTCAGCCGGATGTGGTGGAACAAGGTTTCCAAGGCCTCCCCACATGCTTAAGAAGCGCGAGGGAGATCAAGCGAAAGACGAGCGAGCTCGCGGTGCACTAAGGACAACCACCACCGCCAACCCCGTCCGGGGGCTTTCCAGAGGCACACTACCTCATAACTTCATTTCTCGACATTCATTCAGCCACAATTTCACCAATGACTGCCGAATGCATCACAAAACGAACAGAAAGTAACCGGGGGTATTTGGGTCCGGGGTCGACAAAGGTCCTCTCTTCCGAGGATTGGCATGTCATGAGCTTCCTCGACGAATATTAACAAAGAACCGAGGCTGGACATCCTCAACAGCGACAGTGCCGCTGCGCCATCGCTAGCATCTTGGGAAATGGGGCTTTGGGAAATCCCTGCTTCGGAGCCAGTCTGGGAGGAGCGACAATGCTGCTTACGCTATCGCCCTTTGGGCCTGGCTGATCTGGGGTTTGACCAAGCTTGGAATAAAAAGAGGTGGACGGCAGGTTGCTTTTCTTTTCTTTTTTTTTTTTTTTTCTTTTTTTGATTTTCTTGGTTTTCTGTTCCTGTTTTTGGCTTTGATGATACCCCATCTGTGTTTTTGATACGCTGTCGCAATGTCCGAAGGGCTTTTGGTTTCCGGGAATTCACAAAAGAGGTCTCAATACTTCGACAGCGAAAGTGCTTCTACGCCATCGCTGGGACGGCGTGTCGGGACTGAGGTGTCGGGTAGGCGACAATGCTGCTGCGCTATCGTCTTGCCGGCCTCGTGGGCGTTGTTGGCTTTTTGTTTTTGTTTTTTATATGCTAGGTACGCATTGATAGTGGACAGCGGAGAAGGGGGGGACTGGTCACTCGTTAGGATCATCCGAGAAGAGTATTCGATTGCTCGGATAGAAATTGAGTCTCGATTCCCTCATATCCTACTTCTGTGATCACCGTTTCTACATGATGTTTCTTTCATTTGTTTTTCTCCCTCTAGGCTATGAACTTCATGGCGGCGTCCCAAATACAGATGTCGCCGGTCCAAAGAGGTACGAATGGTTTTCAAATCCTCAAGATGGCTTTCCCCACACTACCTACCTATCTACCCCTTACTAAGTCATCATAGTTGATCTTAGCTCTCTACCAGAGCCGCGAATAGACTGCCGTCACGTCCTCAGTGGAATTCATCTTTGGCCTTCTGAATATTAAGCCTCCATCCCGCCATGCCCGAAGAGTTTCGGTGCATCGTCGTTGAGAATGCGGATAAACATCCGCACACGGTCTGCCGAATCATGCGGGAGGGGCCTGATAGGTACGCGAGCAGCAAGTGGAATATACCTAGGTAGTGTTGAGCTTAGACAGCGTCGCTGTGGCCGGGGTTGTTAGGGACGGCGTAAAACACTTATGGGGATCGAAAAACAGCATAGTTAGTTAACTAAGAGGATTAAGAAGTTTGATCTTCTAGCCTGGATTGAAACTAGGATTTGGCTAGAGCACATATTTATTGTTCTTTACGAGTAGTTTGCTTGATATATATTTGAATCTTCGACCTGTTATTTACTTTGTCGGGCATGTTAGTGCGCAGTAGATTATGAGGGCCGCTGGCGGGTTCAGCTCTCCATCGATGCGATTGCTGAAGTGCGACTTGAATATTTATTGTCCATGACTGTGGTATGACTGTGCTATGGCTGTGCTATGGCTGTGCTGCCTATGACTGTGCTGAACATGACTGTGTTGAACCAAGTCATTTCCCAATACTAATCTACTCCATC